AATTAGCTAACTCCTATCAGGGCAAAAGGCAGTGCTGCAGTCAGGGACAAAAGCAGGTGGACTGCCTGCTGCCAAGATGCACTTGCTAGCCAGGTTTGGAAATGTGCCCTTCTGGCAGAAGTCAAGTTTTGCCTTTCCAACCCACTTCTAAGCACATGCTCAATTCTGTGGCACCTCACTATTTCTAACAGGGGTTACATCTACAGAGGGCATGATGAATTGTTGATTTGATGACGGTAGTTTCACGAATCTATGTGTGGAAACTAGTAAGACCTACATAACAACAAAAAAAGTCAATTTTGTTTTAAGTTAATTTAAATAAAAAGGCAAATTAGGAAAGATGCCACACAGAGAACTCTTGAGAAACAGTCAGCACTATAATGAAGCTGAAAGCTCAATGGATGTGTTTAATAGCAGATAAGACAAAAATTGAAGAAACAATTATTCTTTACTGGACCACACACTGAAAGAAATAATCTAGAAAAATTACATGGAAAAGAAAAAAAAGATTATTTTTAATAAAAAAAAATTTATAATGAAAATTTTTGAAGAAGACATATGGAACATACACAAATGAGAGGTACTGCCAATGAAATTGAAAATTCAACGAATGGGGCTTAGTCACAAAATGAAGAAAAATTACTGAAGTATAGATTTGAGGAATAAACACAAAGGCATAAAGAGGAAAACATAAGGGAGAAAAATAAGGAGATGCGGGACGGGGATGTGGCTCAAGTGGTAGCGCACTCGCCTGGTATGCGTGTGGCCCGGGTTCAATCCTCAGCACCACATACAAACAAAGATGTTGTGTCCGCCGAAAACTAAAAAATAAATGAATAAATATTAAAAAAAAAAAAGAAAAATAAGGAGATGCAAGAGAAAAGAAGGATGAGCATCCATTCCAACTTCCAGAGTAAGAATCAAGAGAAAAATAAGAAGAGTTCTGCTTTCAACTTAAGATGTTAAATGCCACAAGGTCATTCTCAGCCTAAGAATAAAATCTGAAAAACCTATAGGATCAGATCCTTTTTTGAGCCATCATGAACTTGGAAGTCACAAGGCAACTAAATAAATTAAAACATTTCTTCCTCAGTGAAGAGTCAGAACACATGAATAGTTCACCTTTGGTTAAGCATGGAGGAAAGAGCCATCATATAAATGAGTAATTAAGAAATCAACTAAAATTGAGAAATTCTTAAAGGGCAAATGTTGAATGGTATCAACCTGAAACAGATGAGAAACTCAAACACAAAGGAAGACTGGGATCATGGCAGGAATTCAGAGAGAATTCTGCTCAGTGGCACAGGAACAAAAAAAGTGATCAGCTACTGATGGGGTACAGCAATGAAGCCTGAACTCTACTCTTGTCAGAGCAAAAACCTTAAGCCACTGAAAAAGACACAACAAAGCAATAGAAGAACATCCCTGCTAAGACAAAGATTCACTGCTTCTGAAGGAGGGAGAGTGGAAAACCCTCTGTTCCACAGGAGGTACAAGACACCCACTGGGCCCAGGATCCTACATGAACTCCAAGCAAAGGTCTGCTACCACTGGAGGAGGGAAAAGAAACTCCCTCCCACTCAAGACCAAACAGACAGACAAAGGGCGAGTCTGGCTGCACTGGAGAGGAAGAGCAGGAATGCTGACAACGCCCTACCACTGAGGCACAAGCTCCCAGGACCTATCCAATACTGAGGATGGACCATAGAAAGGTAGAACACCTCTTATTCCAACCACAAGCCTAGCACTAAGTAACAAACACCAACAATCCACTGCTGGGGAAAGATTGCCCTCCCAGGTGCTGATGTGCAGAGACAACTGATGGCTGGGAACAGAACTAAAACACCGAGGAAAACCCTCCAGCTTCTAAGGCACTGTTCTAAGCATAGGTAACCGCAGCCCACTGCTGGAAGAATTAGAAGATATGGTGCCTGAAGGGAATGAAAGCAACAAGAATTCCAAATCCAGCTGGGTGTGGTGGCACATGCCTGTAATCCTAGTGACTTGGAAGGCTAAGGCAAGAGGATTGAAAATTTGAAGCCAGTCTGGGAATTTAGCAATTTGTCTCAAAAGTACCCCTGGGTTCAATCCCAAGTACAGCCAAAAAAAAAAAAAAAGGAAGAAAAATTCCCAAATCAAGATCAACTACTGATAAAGGGCATGAAGAATACTATTTGCTTAAGTCTGTTTTTCCACAATGTTTGCCATTCAATCAAAAATCGTGGGCTGGGGTTGTGGCTCAGCAGTACAGTGCTTGCTAGCACATGCGAGGCCCTGGGTTCAATCCTCAGCACACATAAAAATAAATAAAAACTAAATAAAGGTATTGTGCCAAACTAAAAAAAAAAAAAGTGAGACACAAAAATTCAAGAAAAGATCTAACCCATTGTAAACTAATCAGCAAAACCAGACTCAAAGATGACTCAAAGGCAGGTATTGTTAGACAGGGACTTAAAAATAACTATGATTCATATGTTAAAGGATCTAGTGGAAAACGTAGATATCATACACAAACAGATTTTTTGGGGGGGAGGGGGAACTTGAAATTGAACCCGGGATGCTTAACTACTAGGCCACATCCTCAGCCTTTTTTTTATTTTGAGACAGGTTCTTACTAAGTTGCTTGAGGCCGCATTAAATTGCTGAGGCTGGCTTTGAATTTGCTATCCACTGGCCTCAGCCTCAAGAGCTGCTGAGATTACAGGCGTATACCACCACACCCGGTACAAATGAAGAATTTCAACAAAGAGAAAGAAATAAAATTAAGAATCAAATGAAAACATAAGCAATAAAAAAATTGCAAGGGATAAAGAATTCCTTCAAGGGACTGACATACTGTACTTTATAGAGAAAAGAACCTTTTAACTTGCATGTATGCTCACGGAAGTTATCTAAACTGGGGCACCATGGCACATGTCTATAAACCCAGCTGCTCAGAAAGAAGGCTGAGGCTAGAGGATCATGAGTTGGAGCAGAGCCCAACACAGTGAACCTCATTTCAAAAAAAACAGATTACCCAAACTGAAACACAAAGAGAAAAAGAAATAGAACACAGCATCCAAACACTGTGAGACAATATATCAAATATTCTAGCATATATATAATTAAGAGTTGCAGAAGAATAAAGACCACAAAACTAACATTTGAAGACACATAGTCCACTCTTTAAACAAAAACATTCTAGACAACCAAACTGTGGAAAAGCAAAATAAAGGGAAAGATTTGAAGGCAATCTCCAAACACATAATGCAAATAAGGCAAGTGCTCTACCACTGAGCTACATTTGCAGCTCTTTTTATTTTTTATTTCAATCAGGGTCTCACTAAGTTGCCCATGCTGGCCTCACACTTGTGATCTACCTGCCTTAACAAAATAGCTGGGATTACAGGCCAGGTGCTACCACAGCTGGCTCATACTGTTGTTTTATACAAGCAATGCTTAGTGTTTGATGTGAAGGCAGATTGTGATAAGGGATAATTAGGGTAGAGGCAAGAGTTAATGAAATAATGACTAAGAATTTTCCAAAAAAATTAAAGATATTGATCTTTTGTCTGAAAACTACAAGTCTATAATGGAAAACTAAAAGTAAATTCATCTTTAAAAATACAGTATTTAAAAACAATTGAGTGATGGGCTGGAATTGTGGCTCAGTGGTAGAGTGCTTGCCTAGCATGTGTAAGGCACTGGACTTGATTCTCAGCACCACATATAAATAAACAAAATAAAGTCCATTGACAAATAAAATTTTTTTTTTTCTAAATTGAGTGAAAGGAAGATCTGTAGAGAAAGGAGAATGAGGGAAGGAGTGGTGGGGGAACATTAACTAAAACTGAATTCCATGAATGCACAAATTTGTTAAGATGAACCCAACTACTATGTATAGCTACCATGCTCTAATTTAAAAAAATAAAAAAAGTAATTAACACCTGTAATCCCAACAACTGAAGAAACTGAGGCAGGATGATTACAAATTCAAGGCCAGCCTGGGACACCTAACAAGTCTCTGTCTCAAAATATAAAAAGGACTGAGGGTTCAGCTCATTGCCACAGCATCCCTAGGCTCAATCCCTAGTACCACAAAAAACAAACAAAAAAGAATACACTATTTGAAGGGAGGGGGCATGCGGGAAAAAAGATGGTGGAATGAGATGGATATTATTACTCTAAGTACATGTATGATGACACACAAAAAAATAAATAATTAAACTGCATAACAGGGTGACAAAGAAGAAACAAACTCCAAAAAGGAGAAGCAACTTATAAAATATCATATACAAAGTCTGGACTAAAGTCCAGGTCTTCTGACCTGTGTTCAGCACTTTTTCTAAATACCAGTCACACTCCACAAAGGAGATCACAGTTTAGAAGAATTACCCAAAAGTCTGAAGTCAAATATTTATTAAGTAACCACAACATACCCATTACTACATGGTGACAGATATTCTAGTATTCTTCCTTTTATAATTTGTACAAGAGCAGATGCTACTTTTGAAGCATGTTCTGGAAAAAAGGTCATGTGAGCTCTACATAACACAACACATTCCTGGTTTTCCTTCAACCTGTCTGTCTAGGACCTCTTGGTTAGTTAAGGCCCATTCATTTTTCAGATGTCAACTCAAGCTTCAGGAAATCATTCCACGTTTTCCCTGACAAGTCAAAGTCCTAATGTACATCAACAGTCTATGCAGCTCTCTTTCTAGCATGCCACATAGCCATAATTTCACATTGATTTCTACAATTATTTAGTTAATATAGAACATCTTATGGTTGCAAATTCCATGAAGATCAAGAATTATGTCTATTTTTGTCCATATTTTAATTTTAATGCCCAGCATAGTGAACATACAATAAATAGAGATTCATAGAGGTAATAAGTGTTTGAGTATATGCCCTCGTAATGGTATTATGCTTTTGGAGAAGATACATTTACTAAGAAAAGTGTGAATTTAAAACTGCAGAGTAAAAAATAGCTCATAAAATAAGTCCGTAAAATAGCTTACCTAGATACAAATTCACTTAATTCTAAATATTCTGTGGGTTCCATTATTATATTGAGCTCAGTAATGACAGAAGATAAATTCTCCTTAGCCTAAAATTAAAAAAAAAAGAAAATTTATACATCATTTATCCACTTTCTTATTAAGATTAAAATACTTTTAAGTTATGCAAAATGAAGTATCTTCAAATAATAGAAAAGCATAATGAAAAAATGATAATCAAAGTACTGGTTATTCATTGAAACAATAAGATCAGATCCCACTCCTTATCAAAAACTAAAATGAACTCCAAATGAATTATTTCCTTAAATTCCACATTAAAATCACAAAATACTGGGAGGAAATGTGAACATTTAACAAATTACTGAGTCGGGAAAAACTTCCTAAGCAAACAATAGGGAGGGAAAAAAGCAAATAGGATTACATAAAAACCCAGTATCTAAGTAAAAATAAAATAAAAAAGAAGTATTAAACTGAGGAAAACATTCACAATAAATATGACAAAGAGAGGGCTGGGGATGTGGCTCAAGCAGTAGCACGCTCGCCTGGCATGCGTGTGGCCCGGATTCGATCCTCAGCACCACATACAAACAAAGATGTTGTGTCTGCCGATAACTAAAAAATAAATATTAAAATTCTCTCTCTCTCTCTCTCTCCCTCTCTCACTCTATCTTTAAAAAAAATATGACAAAGAGACAAAACTGAAAAGAAAAAGGCATAGGACATGAACTAAAAGTTCAACGGTGAAAAAAAACTAACCTTTAAAAAAGTGTTTTACCTCAACAGTAAGATAAATGTAAATTAAAAACAAACATTTTAACAAATCAGCAAAGACTAAAAAATATTATTGCTGGTAAATATACACTCAAAGTTGGCAGTGGGAATATAAATTGGTATAACCCTTCTAGAAATAATTTTGACAATGAATAACCTGAAATGTTCATTTTCTCTTCATTTGAATTCTAAGAGTCTATACTATGGTAATAAGAAATAAAAACAGATTTATGAACAAAGATATTCCTAATAATGCTACAAAAAGCCAGAAACAATTCTATGCCTAATGATGAAGACTGTTACACAAACTGTTATTTTGATACGCAAACTCAAGTAAACGTTTCCATTTTCTTATTAATTTCCTTTCTTTTCCTGGCATTATTTTGCCCTGATTTTAGACTTTAGGTTGCTTTGTCCAATAGGACAATGAAAGAATACCATATCATCTTGTACTTTGATGTCTGTGGCTCCTATTTGTTGTTAATGAAAGCAAATCTAGAAATTTCTGTTATTTCCTAAAACTAGAGTGCGTTTTAGGAAACTCTGACATGTCTCCTTAATATTCTGAGCTGTCAGAGAATGGATATTGATGATATTTAATCTTCATATAGTTTTTCATCTGCTTGAGGGTATAGTGGGAATCGCTGGGAGCAGCTGTCTGTGGCATCTACCATCATACCTAATCAAAACAAATTCCTGAGGCTTTCTCACCACTCATTTAAAAAAATTAAAAATTATTCAAAGGATCTGCAAAGACATTTTTCCAAAGATAATATACAAGTGGCCTATAAGCACTGAAAGATGCTCAACATCATTAGTGCCATTTGATGTAGTAATTTCACTCTTATATATAAGGCAAAAAAACATGTTCACAAATACATGAGAGTTTATAACAATGTTATTCATAACCAAAAAATGAAAATAACCATTTCTATCAACCGAAGGAATAGATAAAGTGTGGTATATCCACACAATGGAATATTATTCAACCCAAAAAGGGTACTCACATGTGCTACAACATGAATGAATCTTGAAAACATGCTAAATGAAAGAAGTCAGACACATGACCATTTACGTGAAATGTCCAAAATATAAAGAAATCCATAGAGGAAAAAACAGATTAGCAACTGCTTAGGGCTGAAAGAATCCAGGGATATTGAAAGATGGTAGTTAAAGAATATGGGGCTTCTTTTCAAACAGACGAAAATTTCCAAAATTAATTGTGGGAGTGGTTGTACAACTCTGGTGTAATAAACACTACTGAATTGTACACTTTAAAGTTATAAGATATGAAATTATATCTCAGTAGAGCTGTTACCAAATAAATAAATAAAAGCAAGGAAGACAAAAATCTCAGAGGCATGTCTTACTTCAAGTATGCAGGGTGCATGGTAGATTTTGGCCTTTTGCCCGTTAGGATAAGCAAGTCATCCTGTCAACACAAAGTCTGGGATTACTGGCCTTCTATTTATTTTCCTCCTTTGGTAGTTTGCAGACTATGTTCAACCACTGGAAAGCTAACTTCAAAATATTGCTTTTCCATCATTTTCCTGCCTGTGGTACTACTGCCAACCAGGTTTTCTCCCCAGTTGGTAAACAAGGGCCAGGACCTTATAAACATACTAACCTCAAACCTCCTACGTGAATCTCAGCAGCTTGTTTTTTCTACTGGGTTCTTTTCTACTTGTTTTTCTACCATTTAAGTCCACATTTCTCATTCTTCTCCACAACTTAAGAATTGTGGGTGGAGATCTTAAAGAAAATGGTCTCACAAACTTTTGCAAAATACCCATGCCTCTCAAAAGCACTCTGTATTGAGATTTCAGTGTTTAGGTTCAAATATCATAATAAGAAACAGATTTTCTTTAGAGCCTATGATAATGAGAATATATTCTATTTGCTTAAAAATGTCCCTTTTTAAATCATTTTGTTGGGTTTCAGGGAGACAAGTTATGCACACATACATAATTTGATACTTTTTGTACAAACTCCTACTAAACATCTCACTTATTATGCTACATGGTCTGTGGGAGGCATGTTAATTCTCATGATCTTCCAACTCCTCATAAAAATTATAGCCCTGATAACATCAGACAGTAAATCTGAGGAACAGAGTTCTATATTCCAACTACGTTTGACAGTAATGGCTTTGCCAACAGACAATCTATACTCTGCATAGATTTCCCTATAAAGTAAGGAGGTTGACCTAGAAAATCTATGAGGTTGCTTTTGGTTCTAACATATTCAATTTATATAATTTTAGGTTTTTATGGGAATTGTATATTAATAAGATTTCTATTCTGGAAAAATATTTATAATATTATGAAAAAAGAATTATTATTTACTTTTTAATGTTCTGAGAGCTAAACATCTCCCTCTAGTGGAACATTTGATTTTAAAAAAAGAGAAAAAAAGGTTTATTTTTTTATTTATTTTGGTCAGTCTTAACAGTAAAAATGTGCTCAATAAATGGCAAAATCATTTTAGAAGGCAAATCAACACTATTATTAGAAATTACAAGTACATTTTCTTTTATTTTTTTATTTGTTGATAGACCTTTATTTTATTTATTTATTTATATGTGGTGCTGAGAATCGAGCCCAGAGCCTCACACATGCCAGGCAAGTGTGCTACTGCTGAGCCCCAGCCCCAGCCCCAGCCCCCTACACGTGCATTTTCTTTGAGCAATTCTACTAAAGATATATTTCTAAAAGGAATAGGAATAGGCCTAGCATATGGTAGCATTTACCATCAAATAGTAAAAACTTTAACAATTCTTGGTCAGGCACAGTGGTATACACCTAATAAGCCCAGCTTCTTGGAAGGCTGAGACAGAAGTATTGCAAGTTCAAGGACAGCCTACGCAACTTAGTGAGACTCTGTCCCAAAATAAGGATATAGCTTAGTAGGAGAGCACTGATGGGTTCAATTCCCAGTACCACCAAGCAACCAACCAACCAACAAACAAAAAAACATCATCACCACATTAGCATTCTGAGCAACAAACAAGAAAGCCTTTTGTTCCTTTCCTTTCTAAACAAGGACTCTTGGTGACTCCTACAACTGATTCTTAAAGCCCTGCTGATTCCACAGCTGTCTGTGACTGCTTCCAACATCTTACCAGTCAAATCTTCAAGAAGAATTATAAAATTAAAAAGGTTCAAAGAGAAATGAGTGCTCTTAATACAGCCAAGGAGAGTATGCTTTTTCTAGTAGTAAAAAAAAAAAAAAAAAAATCAAGCAGTCCCAAAACCCCATACTTTAAAATGTGAACAAGAATTCATGTTTCTTTATAGATTCAGCAAATTCTTTCAAATAGTATCAACACTTCCTCTCAGATTCCCCCCCCCCGTATCCTTTAAAGAATATAGGTCAGAAACTGCTAGTTGTCCCCAAAATTTATTCTTCCTTGTCTCAACTTTTCATTGTCTTAATGTAACAAAAGTAAGCAATTTAAAGAAATTGAAATTAAACAGGGTGCAGTGGTGCACACCTGTAATCCCAACAGCTCAGGAAGACAGGAGTATTGCAACTTCAAGGCCAGCCTCAACAACTTAGGGAGACCCTCAGCAATTTAACAAAGCCTTGTCTCAAAAAATAAAAAGGGCTGGGGATTTAGCTCAATTGTAGAGTGTCCCTGGTTTCAATCCCCCGTACCAATAAAACCAAACAACAAACAAAAAATAATAAATAAAAAATAAACAAAGTTAAGGGCTGGGGATGTGGCTCAAGCGGTAGTGCGCTCGCCTGGCATGCGTGCGGCCCAGGATCGATCCTCAGCACCACATACAAACAAAGATGTTGTGTCCGCCGAAAACTAAAAAATAAACATTAAAAATTCTCTCTCTTTAAAAAAAAAAAAAAACACAAAGTTAAAATATTACAATCTATGTCAACTCTCAGGCCACAGCCCTATTAATGAGAATGCCAACTAATCTTTGGCCACCACCTATCTGGGAATGTACAACCTCACAGAGCAGCTTGTTTACCTCAACTTTACAGAACAGTCTTGATCTTTTCAGTTGGATTTGTGGACACATGGTCCTAGGACAAGACTAATTTTGCCCACAGTCTTACTTCTCTCGAGATAATCCAAGAAGCAAATGTGAAACAAATGAACACCTATATCAGAAAAAGCCTGCAAGACTCCCAAAGATACTAGAATGTCCCTGAGTTGTTCTTGTGGAATTATATATATATATATTACACACACACACACACATATTAGAATATAGTAGTTATTAGAGAGGGAACTGGATATCAGGTTTATAACTCCACCAATCTGCTATAGGTTCTGGGTCTAGCCCATTCATGGATAACAGCATGCAGGAGAACAACTGGTGTATTGCCACTCTAAGGTCAGAATCTCATTAGCCACAAAAAAAGGAAGATGCAATTGAGCTGAGTATGGTAGTGCATGCCTATAAGCCTAGCTACTTAGGAGGCTGAGGCAGGAGGACTCCAAGTCCTAGGGCAGCCAGGGGAATTCAGTGATATCCTGTCTCAAAATTAAAAACAAAGCAAAAACCCTAAAAGTGGTAGGGATGTATTTCAGCAGTAGTTCGTTGCCTACCAAGTCCTAGGTTCAAGTCCCAGCACTGGGGGGGAAAAAATGCAGTTGGTCAGACTGTAAAACCATCAAAAATGCAAAAACATTCAGGAGTCCCCAGGTCACCCAAAGGAAAAGACTGGGGTCCTAACAAGTGGTACAACCCAATTGATGCCAATCATTTGGGTTCATGCTTGTTCTATTCTTCCTCTTTGTACACATTCCCTTGAGCCCAGCTGGTGAAAACAACTGATTAAAAATCTTTTCTACCACCAAAGCAGTGCTGAGCCTCAGACAGTTCTCAATATCATGCTTGGATCCCGCTTTTCTTAGAGCCAGCCTTTGAAAGTGTCTGAGCCTGTTCTACCTGACCCTGTCCAGAAGCCTATGCTACCATTCTTTTTTCATTGTTTTCTAAATCTTAGCAAAACATATCTGCTTCCCTGTGATGGCTTAGCAATCCAGCACAATTTGTGGATCATCCAACTAGGCTGCTCCCAAATTCCTGACTCAAAGAAGATGAGAAAGATAGTTTTTTTTGGTTATTGTTTTTTTTTTTTTTCTGTTTCCATATGTTAGATATTGGAGGAAATCTGTTACTCAGCAATAGGTAACTGATAATACGTAGCTGGTGTATGACTACTCTTACAACTTCAGGGCTTATACAAGGAGCCCAAAAGCATTTTGCTACCTACCCTATGATTAATCACCTGTTGCCTTAGTAACAATTGTACAAATGTGACTCCTCATTGCAGTCACTGCTGGAGGCTGGGGTGTGTGAATTGCTTCTGTTATAAAGAAATATTTCTGTTATCACAATAGGCTCCTTAATTTACCTGAATTTCTAGAATTTGAAATTCAAGTTGAAATGTAACCATGTGGCAATTTCCTGATAATCTGTGTCTCTGTAGAACTTTCTTTATACCTGTAAATTAGAAAACAAATATTTTATTTGACAAAAACAATTTTCATCACATACCTATCACATATATGTGATTATCTATGATACATATGAGTAGATGTATGAAAGTATCTGTTGGTAATTGCATTAAAAAATCTGAACAATGTGCACCAAACTGACTATCCTTACAAAATAGGATTAATGACAATTTATACACTGTAGTTCTCAATTATACCAAAGGTTAAGTAAAAGATAGAAACATAGTGGTATAGCCCTAGATAAGTTTCAATCATATTTTTCATTTTTTTTAACATTACCTAGTTCCTGTCTAAATGGATTCAGCTTAACATGACTGCAGCTTCAGCCTCCTGAGTAGCTGGGAATATAGGTGTGCGCCACTGCATGTGGCAAGGCCACAGCTTTCTTAAAACCTTGCCTTGGGACTGGGGTTGTGGCTCAGTGGTAGGGTAGAATACTTCCCTAAAAAAAAATTATTTTTAAAAAAAAAACAACTCGTGGGCTGGGGATGTGGCTCAAGGAGTAGAGCGCTCTCCTGGCATGCGTGCGGCCCTGGTTCGATCCTCAGCACCACATACAAACAAAGATGTTGTGTCTGCCGAAAACTAAAAAAATAAATATTAAAATTCTCTCTCAAAACGAAACAAAACAAAACAAAAAAAATCACGCTTAAGAATTTATGTCAAGACTTTATACTGGTGAAAGTTTTACATGTGACCTGTCCTCATCCTCCATTTTTTTTTTGGTGGGGGAGGTACTGGAGAGAATTCAGGGGCACTCGAACACTGAGCCACATTCCCAGCCCTATTCTGTATTTTATTTAGAGATAGGATCTCACTGCGTTGCTTAGCACCTCACTTTTGCTGAGGCTGGCTTTGAACTCAGGAGCCTCCTGCCTCAGGCTCCCGAGTAGCTGGGATTACAGGCATGCATCATTACACCTGACTGTCCTCATCCTCTATACTTCCTGTATTCCATCTCTTCTTTTCAAGTAATTCAGTATCTAAATTACATCACTCCATTTCTATATGTAGTTCAGAAACTCCCAGCAGTGAGCTGCCCAAGATTCTCTTCCCTGCCCTAAAAGTTGTTTCAGTGGAAAAGTCAGGAAGCACTTTCAAAAATGGTTTCTGCTTTGGGATATGTTATTCTTGTCCAACTAAAGTTCTTGACATCCAGTTGCAAGGCTGAATTAGCTTCCTCTTAGCTGTTAGTACACTATAGATCTTCAGCAATAAAACTCTGTCATTAGGAACAGATACCTTCTTTCTGGCAAAAGGTCAGGTGCTAAACATTTATTTGGCCATAGGCAATGACAGCAGTAAACCATTATAGATCAGGCAGGTTTCACATCAGTAATGAATTATTATGTTCATATATTAATAGTGCTATTCTAACAATCCCTAATCACATATCACTATTACTTAACTATTAAGGTTAGTTAATGATAAAGACTGTATTCCATTATTTAATATTTACCTTAGACAACTTTTAAATACTATTGGGCACAATGGAATGTTGAAAAGACTATAAACAGGTTTATCAAATAGTGAATCTGCAGAATTTTTCAACATTATGATAACCAATCATAATATGGTAAGCTTCAAAACCACTTCTAGACTAAAAATAATGCTCACCTTTTTCTGTCATCTCAGTCGTTGTTAGGTCCTCTGTCTGCTTGGCATAATTTCTTATATTGAAGCCAGTAAGTGTACTTAGAAATGAAAGTTCTGATTTTAAATGTCCAAGCTGACTTTTTAGATCTTTTGAAGATTCACATTTCTTAGTATCTGATTGGTATGTTTCTTGAAATGATTTTCTAAAAAGTAAATATCAGAAAGTTATTACAACTACTAACAATTGGTTCATTTAATACCCCAATTTTCTTTAAACCATTCCCATTTTGTTTCTCTTAATCACTTCCCATTAAAACTAAAGCATTATCAAAACTAATATGGCCATTAATACTGTAATCTCTAGTTTCAACAAAAAACAAAAATAACCAAATTATACTAGGATATTTGTACATAGTAGAAACACTTAAAATAAACTAAAACAGAAGTACTTTGCAAAATTGAAAGGTCGGTTCTCATCTGGGAATTTCCAACCTAAAAAACTAATACCCAAGACATCTCATAAAAACAAAATTAAATAGCTAATTTTTTTTTTAAAAAAAGCAAATATCACAAGACATTTTATACTAAGAGATATCTCAGGAAATCTAAGAATACAGAGGGGAGTAAAGACTCCAAAGAAGAAATGTCATCATCTCTTCAAATAATGCTATAACCAGACATTCTGAGAACACACAACTTTAATTTTCCTTGAAAAAAAGAATGAGTTAATAATTGCATTAGATTATACTTTTTTTCATCCTTTTTTCCCCCCTAAACACTCAGCTATATTCTACACTATAGACTTCTGCCATTCCAAAACATCTCTTTTTTGGATTCTGGGGCATGATTACCCTGACTTTCATTTATATCTTGGATCTTCTGCTATCTCTGCTTTTTGTTACCAACATTAAAGGAAAACCCTAATATTCTTACCCCTAGTTTCTTAAATATTATATATTCTTCTCATTCCAGAGAAACACTCAATGATTAACCTCAGCTCCTCTATGCCAGCAACTCCTAAAACACACCTTTGCCATAGATCTTTTCTTCCTGCAATGTAGACCTACTTACTTATTCCACATTTTCCCCCCTTGAATAAGCTTTTCTTCCAAATTCCCCCTGAAGCATAAGGCTCCATATTTTAGAAGTTTATGTTTCATTGGCCTTATCTCTGGATATAATGTCATCCTTTCTGCTCCCTCTCCAACCTCTTCTTCCTTTACTATTTCCAATTCCACTACATTAATCAATGCTTTTATGGCCTTCTACCATGTCTATAGGAAACAAACTAACTCTATTCACATTGAGGATCAAAGACTTGTATAAGGTCTATAAAAAAAAGTTTAATATTGTTTTACTGCGAATTTTAAATATCAATAAGTACATTTTGTAACATCTGAAAGATTACCACATATTCTTTCACATTTTCTATCATGGATTGATGACAAAAAAATTTACTTTGAATATAAAAAAAAACCAATGAAAAAAAACAGAGGCAATCTTCAAACATAAATGAGTTTCTGCTAAGTGAACACCAACTGTCACAGAACGTTCAAGAGAGCAAAGCAAACACATTAAAGGATAGATAGACAGAATTCAAAAAAGAACTTGCAGTTGGCAATGGGAAAGAGGGATAGCAGTTAATTATTCAATGGTTATAGAGTTACAGACTGGAATGATGAAAAAGTTCTGAAGATTGACAGTGGTAATGTTGCAAAACAATATGAACATGTTTAATGCTACTGACCAATATGCTTAAAATGATTAAAATAGTAAATTGTATGATATATGTGTATTTGTATATATATTTCTTATCATATACACAAAAGAGGAGCTGTATATTCTCATTGATAGAAACTAGTTATATAAGCAAAGTATCATTGATTTCATTTCAACTAATAATATTAGTTTGAATTATGTTCTTTTTTTGGAGGGTAGCAGGGATTGAACTCAGGACACTCAACCACTGAGCCATATCCCCATCCCTATTTTGTATTTTATTTAGAGACAGGGTCTCACTTAGTTGCTTAGCACTTCACTTTTGCTAAGGCTGGCTCTGAACTCAGGATCCTCCCGCCTCAGCCTCCCTAGCCACTGGAATTACATCCATGTGCCACCACTCCCAGCTGAATTTTAGCTTGAATTTTATTGGTTCTGTAGTTTTACTATTTGCAAATTTCTTATTAGCATAAAATGCTTTTGTCAACACTAGAAGTTCACAAGAAACCCCTCTTAAACCAAATCTATACTTGATTTGAGCTTAAAAGTCAATGATCTACTAATTAGTGTTAGTTATTATTAAATATGTTAATTCAGTCCTCACAACAAGGTGAAAACGTGGGTACCGTTTTAAAAGGAAGGGGGTTCCAATCAAGATCATGCAGCCATTAATAGCCAGAATTTGAAGGCAGGCAAGAATGTGGATATATGGATATAACTGAATAATTTATTTATTTTACTTGTTCTTTTTAGTTATACATGACAGTAGAATGTATTTTGGCAAATTATACATAGAGTGTTAATATTCTATTTAGGATCCCACTCTGTACATGATTTACCCTGGTCATGTATTCAAAACCAAGGCTAGGAAAGTTATGTCCAATTAATAATTAATTCTACTATCTTTCCTATTCCCTTCCCCCTCCCATTCCTTCATTTCCCTTTTTTGTTGTTGTTGTTTTTGTTTGAGAGAGAGAGGGAATTTTTTAATATTTATTTTTTTAGATTTTGGTGGACACAACATCTTTATTTTATTTGTATGTGGTGCTGAGGATGGAACCCAGCACCTGGCACATGCCAGGCAAGCGTGCTACCGCTTGAGCCACATCCCCAGCCCCTCATTTCCCTTTTTTCTAATCCAATGGATATCTATTATTCCACACCCCAATTTTCCTTGTTTTGGGTTAGCATCCACCAATCAGTGAGAACATTTGGCCTTTGGTTTTGGGGGATTGGCTTATTTTCACTTAATATAATATTCTCCAGTTCCACCCATTTACCAGCAAATGCATTATTTCATTCTTCTTTATGTTTGAGTAATATTCCATTGTGTATATTATACCATATTTTCTTTATCCATTCATCTGCTTTAGGACAGATAGGTTATTTCCATAGCTTGGCTTTTGTGAGTTGAGCTGCTATAAACATTGATGTGGCTGCATCTCCAAAGTATGCTATAACTGAATAATTTAGCTCCAACTTCTCTACCACCAACCCATCCAACCATTTAAAATCACTTAAAAAGTAGCTTTCACACAGGTCCCAATCTTCCATCTCCACCATAGTTGAGAAAAAAATTTCCCATTAAACCTAAATACCTTGGACTGACATTTAATGTCTTCTAGAGTCTTGTGACTTTTCCAGTGTGATCAATGAGGAGTCCCACATAACAAATAATCTACTATGGTATTCTGGACTAATAATGACACCTTGTGGTCAGTGGAGAAATCATCCTCCCCATAATATGATACAGTATTTCTCAAACTTTAAAAAGAGTTTGCTTATTGGGGAGGTAAGAGGAGGATGTCTCATTAAAATGTAGGTTATGATTTAGAAGGTAGTTCTCAAACTCCCAGGTGATACTAATGCTTCCAATCTATGGTTTACACCTGGAGTAGCAAGGACATTTCATTTACTCTTGTGAGAAGCATATACATACCCTGTTCACCTGTTTCCTTCATTTTTGTTTGTTTGTTTTTGGTACCAGGGATTAGGGGCACTCGACCACTGAGCCACATCCCTAGCCCTATTTTGTACAGACAGGGACTCACTAAATTGCTTAGCACCTCACTTTTCCTGAGGCTGGCTTTCAACTCCAATCCTCCTGCCTCAGCCTCCCAAGCCGCTGGGATTACAGGCTTGGGCCACTGCACCCGGCTTCTTTCTCCCTTTTACCAGTAACAGCTTTCTCTACTTTTATGACTGCATAGAACATCATGCAAACTTCCCCCAGCTCTAAGAATGGAACTGAGGACCTCACTGCATGCTAAGCAAGCATTCTACCATTAAGCTACATCCCCAACCCAAACATTTTCTTTAGACCCCCTCATCCTCCTTCACATTTTCTAGCACTTTTGTCCATTTAGATCAGGGGGAGGGGGGAAACCCCTCTCTCTGCACCTATACCAAATTAGTCTTGTTTTTAAAAACGAAGATAGTTTGACTTCAAGTAATGAGATGATACATAACTGATAATTGTTAGAGATCTTTTCTCTCCTTCAATCAAGAAGACGCCTAGTATTTTAGGGTCCAATTCAGTTCTAACACCTCCTTTGTCTAGGACCTTTGGCAAGCTACTTCTGATTCTCAGGTTCTCTAACTTTAAAACCGAGTTAAGGATAGCATCTAGTCAGGGGGCTGTCAGATTCTCCCTACAGTCGATATTAGCTACTTTTCCTTGTATCAGCTTTTCACCTAAACCGGGCTTCAAAGAAAATTTTATGTCATTTTCATAATAATAAAAAAAAAGGTATCCCCGGGGCTAGGTGACCTATACAAACAAATGTCCCGAAAACAAAGTAACTAAATCCCACTTTGAAACTGCTGCCTGCCGAAGGCAAGATTTTCTAGTTAAAAGAAATAAACAAGACTTGGGACCTTGCAAGAAACGACTTTCTCACCACTATCAGTGGATGCGCTGAAAGGCGCGTATCACAGAGAGAACCCTGTAAGCAGTACTCCAGACGCTGGGCCACCGTCATTACAAAATCGGCGACGGTTCCAGTCTACGTTTGGGGGTGTCCCAAGCTACAACCCGCAGGTCAGGGCCTCGGGGAACCGCGGCCCGGAGCGCTCTGTGCAGTCCTCCGCCTCGCCTTGAGGCAGTGCCCGGGAGTCCCAGGGAGAGGACAGGAGCCACGTACCGGTCTCTGGCCGTCCCTTCCCAGGGCGCAGGCAGCTCGCTGCACGCTCGCTGCAGCGCCGCAATCTCCGCCTCCAAGGCGCGCACCTCAGCGCGCCGGGCGTCCATGGCGCACAGAACTGCCCAGCCGGGTCCCGGCCGCCTCGCCCCGAGCTTCAAGCGGCGCGCGCTACCGGCACGTACCACTGCGGAGCTCGCGGGGTAGGGGAGGCGGCAGGGTGACGCGTAACCGCGCGGGCCGGAGAGTCCACCCCCGCGCTCAGACGAGACTCCAGGTCTTGAGGACCCTCCCCACCTCCCCACCGCTGTCTTTAAACAGTCCCGACTCTTGCGAGTTGGTTCCTTCCAATCCGCCAAGCGTCCCGGCTGCCCACCCCCGCCAGCAGCCTTGGAACAACCCGGACATCTAGGTTACTGGAGAGGCGGTTCCGGGACCTGGTGAAAGGGGGCGCTCGTTCATTTTCTTCCGCTCCCTCACTCCGGCCTGCTCAGTGCGGGAGTCACTGATCAAGTCGGCTCTTTAGAAATTAGGGGATTTTGCAACCGGCTTTTTTTTTTTTTTTTTTTTTTGCGGAAGTTGAGGGGAGGGCGGTGGATGCACCACAGCCGCCTGAACGACGGGAAACAAAGAGTGCTCCGGAACTAAGTGCGGAAACGGAACCTTAGGAGACGAAGTTGGAAATCGAGTAGGAAGGAAGAGGAATTGCACTTGGTGGGCCATGTGATTAGAAGTGGGCAGACGCGCGGCGCTGGCTCTAGGAGACGGCGTGGTGAGCTCTGGGTTTGGGCTTGGGAAGTAATAGGGCTCCCGGATCTGAGCTCTGCTTTCTCTTTTTTTGGTCTTCCGGGAGGAAGAAGGCTGGAGTGGGGAGGCTAGGGTAGAGGCTGCTAGGAAGAGTTTCAATCGGAGCTGTCACCCAGACTCGGTGTCATGCCTTGGGCTTCAGGAGCTCTTGTGTGATCTCCCATGCGGAGGAGTATGTCAGCTCTTGAAGAAGAGCAGGATGAGAGCTTAGCGCCCGAAGAGAACGAAAGGAAATGAGGGATCTGATGATGGATGTCAAACCTCAGGCACCTCTAGAAAAGTTTTCCTGAATCCCCTGTAATCCAACAACTTTCGTTAGTATAGTGTTAACAATTCCGGGATTGGAAATTAGACCTGCATTATAATTCTGGCTTCATCACTGATTTTCTTTATAGTATTGGGAAAGTGGATTCTGCTCGTGTGAGAAATGGAATACATGCAAACTGCTATGCACCATATGGACACATAGTAAAAAAGCAAGTCTTCGAGCCTGAACAGCACTTTGCAGCACTTTTATTGTGCATAATATTGTAATTGCAGTATTGGTTTACTTCTCTTGTGGGTGTGGAGCTTCAGGATGGAGATGTGACTTTCTCCCTTAGCATATGAACTGCCGCATCCTACATTTGTCAGCCTTGGTTAAAGTGACAAAAAGAATGTATGAAGGAAGGAAAAAAGAACACCGAAAAATAAGTAAATGAAAAGAGACAGTATATAATAGTTGTGGTCATTTAAAAGGAATATTATGTGTGTTCCTGTGATTGTGTAAGTGTGCAGGTGCTGTTCCAAAGTGCATTCAGGAAGAATTGGTATGTAGTCCTTGTGCAGAATCTCCAGGGAGATACAATAGGAAGTGAAGCATGCATCCAGAAGACCAATTTGGCATGTAGGCTCAGGGGAGAAGGAGTTATGTTTGAGGAGAACTATGGGAAAGAACTTCTCCATATACAGAAAATTACTTTTCCCACTAGAACATACCAAGTGTATGCCCAACCTTCATGAAAGCCAACAAAGAAACCAAGCGCCTTTTTGTGGGTGGCCTTGGCCAGGCCATTTCTGAGACAGATCTACAAAATCAGTTCAGCAGATTTGGAGAAGTTTCTGATGTGGAGATCATCACACGGAAAGATGACCAAGGTAAATTTATAATCCTTTACTGGGTGGTTACAGGCAGACATGGGTTAAATATTACAAGATAAAGCAACCCCAACAGTAAATATTAGCTCTGAACACTGAAAATGATATGTAATGCCCTGGAGGTATTATATATGATATGAAACTTGCTCACAATTGCTGAAATCCTAAAAATTCTAAAACATGATATCAGAAAGGTCTTAACATCCAGTTTTAAGAATTAACATTTTAAATCTGTTAAATGTTCTATTATGTAGAGTATCACTAATATATGATCCAGAAGTTTCCTTATCTGGTCACTTAATTTTCTTTTCCTTATTCATTTTGTTTTGGAATATTTTGATGATGATGCTTAGAAAAGTTCAATCTTTGTATCCAATGAAAAACAACATTTGTCTTTGAAATGATAAGTTTCTAAAAACTGATCTTTTAAACTTAGAAAGTTAATTTTTACATTATTCTCTGGATAATATTTAAAATAAACTTATTTTTATTTTCTTAGGAAACCCACAGAAAATCTTTGCATATATTAATATCAAAGTAGCAGAAGCAGATCTGAAAAAATGTAAGATGGTCATTATTTTTTATATTGTCTGCTCGTTGGCATCACTGTGTAATTTGAAGTAACTTTGGTTCTAAATCTAAACCTCAACAGACACTTCTAAGTCATACAAAAGAACAACTATGATTAAGAGGATTCTGGTATTCTACATTTTGCTGATTTAAGTCAATTCCATTTATGTCAGCAGACCTATAGTAGCACAATGGTAATAAGTTTGCTCAAAAACTGGTATTCTCAAATAATTTTGAAGGGGCCAAAATTTCATAGAAACTTCCTGCTAGAAATCTCTCTCTGTCACACTTCTCTATTCATTTCTAGCTATCTTTGTCATTAAATATTCTGAGGAGGGGGCATTAGAATATATAGTTGTAAGATACTATGGTATCTCTTGATATGATTTAGTAAACTGAATACTGAGGGTGAATACTGACTGTCAAAGAGGAAGGAGAAGGCAAGAATCCATAATACTGCTGATACAGTAATGAATTCTAGTTACTTAGGGGTCAAAAAGTCAAAGACACTGAAAAGTGAGTAAAAGGAACATATAATAGAGGAAGAAGGCTATCAGTCTTATAGTTTTGTTTGCCAAAATATTATTCAGGGAGGAAGTTGTGTGACAGATAGGAAAACTTGTGTTTAAGAACACATTAGCTCTGCTAATTTGATCTGTGGCAGATTATTTGAACTTCTAAGCCCCAGTTTGCTTTTCTAGTGAATGAAAAATATAATGCCTTATAATATTCCTGTGATGGTTAAACTAAATTTATGCTTAGTATGGTGCCTAACATATAAAATTCTGTTGATGGTTGTTATAAAGCTGGTAGCAGATGTTTAGAAAAACTGGCTACTGTGTTATAACAGTACTAACAGTTCAGACACTTGCAGTTATTTGTGGGTTACACGTTGATAATTGATTTGAGGTGATAAGTAAAAGGTGCTCCTAGGATTCTCAGATGTCCTCTTTTCACCCTGACCACTTACCACTTTCATAGTTAGAAAATAACAAGGACATAGTAAATGTCAGTTATTCACTAGAGGTTCCTGACATTAGTTTATAAACAAATTTCAAACAAATTTTGCTTTACAGTTTACATGTTTCCTTATTCTAGTCTCTTGGTAACGTTGAGATAGGAAGTAAAAGGAAATTTCTGGTAAGTGGTCAGGATAGATGGAAGCCTAGGCTTCCTGTCTCTAGGTCACATTTTCTTTTTGTGTGTGTGTGTATGTGTGTTTGTGTGTGTGTTTCTTTTAACAAGTCTACTTTTCTTGGTACTAAATTACTAAAAAGAAAGCATTATATTTTTGAATTGCTATGTACTCGGGTAGTAATTCTTTACCTTTTAGGTATGTCTGTTTTAAATAAAACAAAATGGAAAGGTGGAACACTACAAATTCAGCTAGCAAAAGAAAGCTTTTTGCACAGGTAAGTTTTTTCCATATAAATTTAAACCCCATTTCTTTATTTTCAAAATTTTTATTTATTTTTTTTTAGTTTTGCAGTATGGGGATTGAATCCAGAATCTTGCCCATCTTAGGCAAGCACTGTCACAGAGCTACATCCCCATCCCTAAACCCAATATCATTTATTGGTTTTATATATTCACTTAATTTATTTGAAATTATCAAGCAATATAGTACTAGTAAATTTATATTAGTAAATATATATTAGTAAAAAAAAATATATATCTGAAATTCCTCTCAACTCTGACTCTCTTTAGCCCAGACCCCATTAAAAAAGAATTCCATGCATTTACATGTGTATATATTAAGATATTTATGTATCTAAGTGCTGTGGCACATGCCTGTAATCCCAGTGGCTTGGGAGAATCAAAAGTTCAAAGCCAACTTTAGCAACTTAATGAGGCCCTAAGGAACTTAGTGAGACCCTGTCTCAAAAAATAAAAAGGACTGGAGTGTGTTCAATGGTTAGGTGCCCCTGGGTTCAATCCCTGGTACAAAAAAAAAGTGTATGTGTACACACACTTATTTTCTCTTTTAACATAACCTTCTGTGGCAATGTAGCCTCCCCTTTTTTCCTAATACCAGTTAGTACAGAACATGGCTGTGCTGCAGTGTAGTTGGTCCTTCCGACTGATGGACATTTAGAGTGTGTTATAGTTTAGATATGAGGTGTCACATGTGAGACAGTGCTCAGGTTTAGAGGTGAAATGATTGGGTTATAAAAGCCCTCACCCAGTGAGTTAATCTCTTAATAGGGATAAACTGAATGGTAACTGAAGGCAGGTAAGGTATGGCTGGAGAAGGTAGCTCACTGGAGATGTCCCTGGCAAGGAAAATTCTCTCTCTCTGCTTCATGATACCATGTTCCCAACTGCTTTCCTCAACCACACTCTTCCACCATGATATTCTGCCTTACCCTGAGCCCCCAAACAATGGAGCCAGCCTTCAATGGAGTGAGACCTTTGAAACCATGAGCTCCAAAATAAACTTTTCCTCCTCTAATTGTTCTTATCAAGTCTTTCAGTCATAGCAATGAAAAAGCTGACTAACCAAAACAGAGTGTTTGCACTTTTTCATGATTATAGGTACTCCTTGAGGATGTCTCCTGCATGTGCACAAGTGTTTCTCTGGGATTTATGACAAAAAGTAGAGTTGCTGAGTCTCAGTGTTATGTACATTTAAATTTTAATAGACATGGATTTTTCACTACTAATGCTAGCATCATACTAAAATATAAAAGTAATAGGAGATACCCAAATAAGAGTATTTATGCAGGTAATTTAAGAATAAGACAGTTTAACAACCATTGGCATTTTTAAAAGTATAAAGGTGATTTTTCAGGAAGAAAAGACTGTATTAGCTTGGGAACTCTTCAATAGGAAACATTTTTAAGAATATACTAATGGAGTGACTAGGAGAGGTAATAAGATTGTTCTAGACCAAGAAAAGATACAGTCTAAAACAAGCAGCAAACACCTTACTGGAGGCATGTTTTGAGGGACTGCTCTTACAGAAAGGTAAGTATTAGATTTTGTTCTTCATCTGGGGGCCTCTGACTATGAACAGGGTAGTCATGTACTTTTCGTTCATTCTGCATCACTTAGGTACTGCCACGTAGGCCTGGGACTCTGTGCTGAGCAGGGAGAGCACATGGTGCTGCTGCCCTGAACTATATGTACAGATAGGCCCAAGGAACACATCTGGGTGGTAGAACATAAAGAGATAGACTAGAAACAAAGAGGCCACTGAGCATTGATCGGAGCAGTTGTCCACACCTGACTGAGGTGAATATAACTTGAATTGGAAGGTCAGGATGGCATTCTCTTCATTAGGAAGATAGAAACCAGCAAGACTTAACAAATTGGGCTCTAAAAACACCTCTTCCTCACAGGGGAGAGTGGAGAGAGAGAGGATATGGAAAGTGTCCAGAATTTATAAGTTGAAAGGGGGAAATTGAGCAAGTTTGTGATCCACGTCTTGGTCTTGCATGAAGGGGAACTGAGATATCTGCTGGATTGGAGCATAGGTGTTGGAGTGAATGGCAGAGGCTGGGAGGCTGACTAGAGAGGGTGGTCAGGAGGAAAGAAGCCTCCATGCTCAGCCCTCCACTGCTCAATTGCCTACAGCAAGGGACTGGTAAATAAAACAGATTTATACAATGTGTGTAGTAGGGCAATAACAGTGGTGTTTTCAAAAAATGTATAATGATAGAAAAAAGATTACCCAACAATACCTATAGGATTATCTATATTACACTTTTAAATGTATACATTTATATTTAGAACAAAACAGATAAAATTTAAATCATAGGATATGAGATGAGGAACATATTTGGTTTTCTTCATTTTTCCATGTTTTTCATTTTTTCTATAATGAAAATCTATGTTTAGAAAATAATAAAGGTCATTTATACTATCAACAAAGTTTTTTGTTTTATTTTGGTTTTTAATGCTATGAAGATGTTTAGAATGCTCATTTGAGTTCACCTGAAGGAAAATAACCATTTTGAATGCGTGATTATTTTACCTGTTTTATTTATATTTTCCCTTTGACCCAGATTGGCCCAAGAGAGAGAAGAAGTGAAATCAAAAAAAGAAAAATCAACAACAGGCAATACCAATGTGTCGGAAAAGATGGGAGGGATAGATTTCCAAATGAAAGCTGTGCCGGGAACAGAAGTACCAGGGCACAAAGTGAGTCTCTTCTGATAGCCTGAGCCAACCCAGGAACCGAACACCTGAGACCATGTTATTTTTGTATGTCATGTCTTAAGCCAATAGCATTTTTCCCCTTGTTATAAAGCAATTAACATAGATCACGTGTTCTAATTCTTAAGATGCATGTATGACTCAAGTTAGCATAGTTCCCCATCATTTTAGAGAAATAAAAAGCAGAAACAGATAAAAGCTGTCTCCTAAAGGACAGGTAGTAAGAAGTATAGGCAGCTTTCATGTTTGGCTTTTAGTAGCTAATGTTTTTTCTTTTCTTTTTTTCTTTTTTATTTTTTTAAATATATATTTTCCAGTTATAGTTGGACACAATACCTTTATTTTATTTATTTATTTTTATGTGGTGCTGAGGATCCAACTCAGGGCCTTGCATGGGCTAAGTGAGCACTCTACTGCTGAGCCACAACCCCAGCCCTAGTGTTTTTAATATAATAATCTCCATTGTATGTTTGGATTTGATATCTGCTCCAAAATTTCTTTCTTTTTTTTTTCCTTTTGTAGATTTTCTCTTTGAGAATTCTTGTTTCGTTCTGAAAACTAAACCCAACAATAATAATGATTCACTATGAGTTCAACTTTTTAAAAATTATATTTATTTATTGTTTCTTTATTAATTTTTAATTTGTGACACATATTATAACACTTATTATTTTATTTTATTTTTTTTTAGAATTGGGTTGTAAGTAAGTTTGGAAGAGTCTTACCTGTTCTTCACCTGAAGAATCAACATAAACGTAAAATATCCTTTGTTATTGGCTTCTCAGAATGACTGTTATTTACTGGAGTGATGAATACTTGCAAAACACATTTACGTTATTACTGCCTCTATTAGTAAATCTTCAGTGTTTATTTAATAGTTTGTATGTTCCCATTTTGAAGACAAGATAATTAGATATTAAATAATAAGAGAATGTCATGAGATTTTATATAATTAAGTAATATGAATGATGAATGCCGAAAGAGAAGTTTCATTTATCAGATTATACATCTTATTGCATATGGGTTCACGATCATTGCAAAAGGAGTTATAGAACAGTAAGAGAAAAAGGGCCTATTGTTAAAGAAGGCTTAAGGAGAATTGAGGTAGGTCTTGAGTTAATAGTAAAGTGGTAGAAAGTAGTCTTAGAGGAAAATTATAGATATAAGTATAGAGAACTGGGCACAGTGGCCCACATTTATAATGCTAGCTACTCAGAAGGCTAAGGCAGGAGGATCGCATATTCAAGGCCAGTCTTGGCAACTTTTGAGACCCTGTCTCAAAATGAAAAGTGAAAAAGAGATTGGGATGTAGCCTAGTCGTAGAGTACCTCTGGGTTTAATCCTCAGTACTACCCAAAAGAAAGAAAGAGAAAAAGAAAAATGTAGACTGGCAGGAGAATGGTCAATGGAAAAATAGTAGGCAAATTCTGTGCCTATTCAGTTTGATCACGTGGAGACCTTGAAGAACTGATGTCATGGGATTCTTTGTAGAAGGTGTATTTATATTGTCTGGATTTGCTGTAGTATCTATAAAGTTCAAGTAATTTGCCAACTGATAATGGTGATACTTGGTTTTAACCCTGGAAATGTTTTAGAAGGCTTCATTTCATAGATCATGAAAATTTACTGCGGAGTCCCTGTTTTGTTTGATAAGAAACTGAGAGCAAGATAAAATAAACAGTGTGCTTGAGATTAAACAATATTCTTTTTGTTTCACATAGGTGTCACTAACACCTAGTGCTTTTGCTTTGTTCCTTGACTCTGAGTAACATCATGAAATATGATCCATCAAAATACTGCCACAACCTAAAGAAGATAGGAGAAGATTTTACAAATACCACTCCTATAACTAGCCTCACTTGGGAATTGGAAGGAGGTAATGACCCTATGAGTAAGAAACGGCGAGGAGAGTTCTCTGACTTTCATGGCCCTCCCAAGAAGACTATAAAAGTACAAAAGGGCAAGGGTTCCACTGTGAGTCCAAGGACCAATCTCGAAACAGAGAATAATAGCACATCAACCCAGAAAATGCCTTGTGCTTCTATTATTCCCAAATCATCCCCTGTACCTAATTCTGGTTCTCAGAAACTTCAAAATGTACCTTTTCAGACTTTTGGTTTGGAAACTGCCAGGAAGAGAAATAGCATGTCTGATGATGATATTGATTCTGAGGATGAATTAAGAATGCTGATTGCAGAAGAGGAAAACTTACAGAGAAGTAAATGGTCCTCAATAAATGAATCTGAAAATGATCTTTTTGAAGTTGTAAGAGATGATTTCAAATCAGATGTTCACAAATTTCATTCTATAGCAGGGCTAGGAGTTAAAAACATCTCTCACTGTGTTAGTGACAGTATTATGGGAAGTGACCATGAATATGATTCAGGAGATACAGATGAAATCATTGCAATGAAACAAAACATTAGTAAGGTCAAAAATAGTGCAGAGATTTCACAAACAGAAAAACCTATGCACAGCAAAACTTTGAAAAAGAAAGAGATTTTCAATCATTGTAATAAAATACAAAAAAGAGAAAACAAGAAAGAGTCAGCTGTCAGTAATGGAGTGAAGCCTCTAAGTCATAAATCTTCATCTGACTCCAGCAGCAGTGATGATGAAGACAGTGAAGGAGATGAGGAGTATAACGCCATCATGAAAAACTGTCCCCGTGTGAATCTCACTTTAGCTGATTTGGAACAGTTGGCTGGCAGTGATCTGGTGGTACCAGAAGATTCTGAGAGCGATGGCCCAGAAACCAAGTTTGACAGAGCCTCCAAGAGCCCCGATACACCCCATGCCCTTGGCCGAGGCCGAAAGTGCATTCATCCTGAGGAAATTGTGGCTTCCCTTTTAGAAGAAGAGAAAACCTGTGACAAGCAGAAACCAAAGGAAAACAACTTAAAGCCCAAATTCCAGGCATTCAGGGGTGTAGGCTGTCTCTATGGAAAGGAATCAGTGAAAAAAACCTTGAAAGAGAGTGTGGACTCTAACAATATAAATGAAGATCAGAGTTCCTTAAAACTGGAGGATTCCAGTAGCATATCCATTGAAAATGAGTCCCTACGTCTTAATGGTTCATCAAGCAAACTGACTTCACAGCAATGTGCCAAGACAATAAATAGCCCAAATCACACTCCACCTCAAAAAAGACAGTTCAGTTTTGAGACCCAATATCACAAGATAGTTTCCCCTAGTGGTTCAAAAAAGGGAGGTAGAGATTCTATTTCTAGTCTGATGCCATTAAAAGGTAAAAAATGCTTAAGTCTTAGTGCAAAGACGCGTAAAATAGGCATTGACAAAGACAGTTGCCATGGTACCAAAAAGACAGATGAATCTTCTGAGGAAGAGGGTTCTGATTCAAGCATCCTCACTTCTCTTGAGAAATTGCCAACCGTCTCTTCCAGAAAAGATGCTCAGGAAAGCACAGCAGATTTCTCACTTTCTGTTAGTAGTTCAGCAAATGTGACTGGTAAGAATAAGTATGCTGAAGACAATCAGAGACGTTTGGCAGCCTTGGAAGCAAGGCAGAAAGCAAAAGAAGTGAAGAAGAAACTGGTCCACGATGCCCTAGCCAATTTGGTGAGTATGTTGTCTTTTGTTTTTTTCCTTTTTATGTTTTTTTAGTTGTAAATAGACACAATACCTTTATTTTATTTGTTTTTAATGTGGTGCTGGGAATCAAACCCAGTGCCTCACACATGCAGTGCAAATGCTCTAGCACTGAGCCATAATCCCAGCCCGAGGTGAGTGTATTTTCAATCTATGCATTTAATAAGAACACTCTGGAAGTTCAGCTTTTCCTTCCTATGCAGGTAGGTGTGCCTCCTAAGAGCTCTTTGTCTTCTTGGCATTCACCACTTTTCATGTTTTTTTGTCCTTAAGTTAGAAACTTGTATCACCCTAAATATTTAGCGTATTCCTAAGGTATTGAAATTAAATATTAGTATTTACCTAAAACATTTTAAATTTATTTGAAATTTTCTTCAGGGCCAGGGATACAGCTCAGTGCTTTCCTAGCATGGGGCCCTGGATTCAATCCCCAGCAACAACAACAAAAATCCCTAAAATTTTCTTTATTTTTAAATTTCACATAGTGATTACAAAGTGATTTGTAGCTTGCCAAGACTTGCTAAGATTTATTGTACTGAACCTTTGAGAAATGTGAACAGCTAAGTGGGAATTAGGCAGAGGTAAAAGATCAGGAAGGGAGAGGAAAGATGTTCCAGGAAAAGGAAGCACATTTTACAACAGTGAATATTTTCACTCAGACTATGATTTACAGATATATAGAGGTGGCAAGAAATATAGAGGCTGCAGAAGTTGAACTTCACTCTTAAGGCTAAAGAATTTTAGCAGGGAATTAAAGATCAGTTGTATATTTGGAAGAGATTTGGCAAACTATGGCTCTCGGGCCATCCAGACCATGGTCCTGTTATGTACAGCCTTTAAGCTAAGAGTGGTTATTGAATATAGGACAGAGACTATATGTGGCCTGCAGATTCTAAAATTTCTACTTTCTGGACCTTTACAGAAAAAGTTTGTGAACCTCTGTTTGGCAGAGATCCTTCAGGACATGACAAAAACACATAGAATGGGTCATTTCTGGAGATAAGGAAATCCTTTGGAAGGTTGGGGACCAGAACCAGGGCACCAATGGCGGGCATAGATTTAACAATTTCAAGAAGGTCTAGTTGATAGGAGTTGGTGGTCATTGGATATAGGGAGAAAGGAGTTCTAAGTTTCTATCTCAGGCAAATAGCAGGTGAGAGTGGCATTCACTAGATTAAAAAAAAGGACAGGAAGGAGATGTGGCAGGAGAAAGAGATCATGGATTAGGACTTGGTCAGAGTGAGTTTCTGTTGTCTTAAAATGTGATGCTTCTGATGGCCTCCCCAGGATGGTCGTCCAGAGGATAAGCCAACACACATCATCTTTGGTTCTGACAGTGAAGATGAAACAGAAGAGACAAACACTCAGGAGCAAAGCCATCCAGGAGAGGAGCTGGTGAAAGTAAGATGTTCCATACGTCCTTGTGGACATTTATCTGCTTGACAGATCCATCTGTCTATTGCATTCCAAGTCTTCCACACAACTTCCAGTTCAGCACAAAGTCCTGGGAGCTGCAGTGAAACTCAGGCCTGCCCAGGCCGCCACACACTCAGATGAGTGGGGTCATAATGATTTTCTCACACATGAACCTCTCTGTGTTCTCCACATCATCTGCAAAGTCACATCAATATCAGTGAAAGACTACAGAAGATGTTCTTGCATGCAGTAACTGCCCCCCAAATCCAGGTAGCTTCCGAGAGCCTTGGGATTAATGATACTAGAGTTCAATTAGAGATTCCTGAGTCAGGAGTTTCTGTCTGATGCATTCCTGGTAGATGCATCTGGGTTGTTTTCATTGTTTGTTTGTTTTTTAATGTGGGCAGAAGATTACATTGTAAAGGAGATGCTGATTGCCTCAGTTACTAAACATTTCTGTTTTCTCTATATAACAGGAATCTGTGGGTAAAGCCTCCGGGCAACTGTTTGGCAGCAGTGATGATGAGGAACTTGATTCAGAGGATGACATTGACAGGTTCAAAATTAAACCTCAATTTGAGGGCAAAGCTGGACAGAAGGTTAGTGAACACTAAAAACAGAAAAATGTGTAGCATATCTTGGTTTTCAATATTAAACTTCAGATAAATGCAGCAGACTTTGACATATATTTCATCATGGGGAAATAGGAAGCAAATCCTCTCTAATTCTCTGATTGGGCAGATGAGGTTGTGCAAATGTTAACAATGTGAATTTCAGAGTGTGGGGAAGTGCACCTGGAGAGTCTTGTTTAGAAGCAATGTCTTGGGAACATGGTTATCAATTGTGTATTCTTGTCTGTTTAGCTCCTGGATTTACAATCGCACTTTGGCAATGATGACAGGTTCCGCTTGGACTCTCGATTTCTGGAGAGTGACAGTGAAGAGGAACAGGAAGGTAAATGCTTCATTGTCCCAATAGTCCTGATGTAGAGAAGTCATCCAGCATACCTCCTTTGTTTAACCTGAAGAAACTCTACACACCAAGACATTGAATTGAGTTTCTAATTAAATGTTTTGTCAAGTTAACTTAATATTTCTTAAGTTTTTTGTACATTTTTATTCTGTAAAATTTTATTCCTTGAAGCTGACAAATAGGACAGGAGTAGAAAGCATTCACCAAAGATAACATATTCCTACATCCTATTCCTGGCATGAGAGAAGGTGGCCAAGGCCCCTCCTTGGGAATTGTATTTGTAGTGCCTCAGGTTTGGGGTTGGCCTTGGAAGAAAATTAAGTCCAACTTGACTCTTTCTAATAAAGAGTCTTCGTCTTCCTCTGGTGTGCATACCAGGTATGTGTTTTTTAAAAAGCATAGTATCATGGAATGCCATTCTATGGAATTTATCCTTACTTGGTAAATCTAAAAGTAAATACCAAATTGATCTTTACCTGGATAAATCTAAGAGGAACAGGGCTTTAGAAGCATGTTGATCCTACTTCCTGCGCCATTTTTCATAGCAGTGTTTCAACACATTATCTAGAAGACTATCTATTCTCATCCTTTTAAAGACCTGATCTACACGGCCACTGTGAATAACCTCAGCCTCAGAACCTCTGTCCTTATCTTCCTTGTCTTGTTTTATTCTCCTTCCTGAGTTAACTGACCTAATGTGCATCTTAATCTCACAATTTGTACTTCCTGTCACCCCTTTTCTCAAATAATTTATTATTATTTGATCCTATCAGTGCTTTAAAGTGATTATTATCAACACTATACATTTTGGGAAACCAAGGTTCAATGGGGCTTATGAATAAATTCTTCGGGGTTCACACCAACTTGCTTCCAAACCAACATTTGACTTTTGGATCTTTGTACAATCCTGTATTGAAAGCACAAGAATGAATAGAATCTTGAGAAGAGCCTATGTTCAGAAATTACATAGCTGTGACGGTAGAGGTTACTTTCTTAAGTTCTTCCACTTTTGTGGAACAACTTCCTGTCCAGTGACACTTTTCCAGGTAGCACCCTCCTCAGCTGGCCTGCTCCCCGTGTTAATGTTGATCATCCTTTTTGAAATTTTTTTACCTTTGTGGCCAATGAAGCATATTATCTATGTAGGGTCTTAAAGGCTTAGACTTCTTTCATGTTTCTGTTATCCAAACTCGGAATTTGACTCTGTTCTCTGTGTCCGTTTCTGGTAGTTGAGGGTAGCAGCTGACAGTGTTCAGTGATGCCTCATGTGTATGAGAAATAGAGCTTTCTTCCTGCTATACTTTTTTTACTGAATCAAAGACTGAATAACTGTCCATTTTAATCTGTCACACTAACAGTCACTAAAATAACTATCTTTTACAGTTCTTATAACTTTTAGACCTAAATGTAATCAAGATCACATTTTTAGAATGTTAAAAGAAATCAAAGGGTCTATAATCACTTTTGTGTTAGTATCTTACCATATTACATTTTTTTATCTTTACCTTGAAAATTTCAGACTTCTGCTGGGCACAGTGGTACATTCCTATAATACCAGCTCTTCAGCAAGCTGAAGTCAGAGAATCACATATATGAGGCCAGCATCAGCAAATTAGATCCTGACTCAGAATAAAATTAAAAAGGACCAGGGATACTATAGCTCAGTGGTGGAGCACTGTTTAATGTGCATAAAGCCATAAATTCAATTTCCAGCATTGCAAAAATTTAAAAATTTAGAATTGCCACTGAAGTCCAGATTTCATTTTTATAATCACAAATAAAAATAGGACATTTTGTTTGCTGGTGATGTAACTTCTGGGTTTGTTGTATCATGAGGGTCTTGTAGGTAGAAAGGTTAGCAGAATGTGTCAACTTTTTATCTTAATGTGCTTCAGACATATTATGGTGATTGGTAAAGCTTTTGATGCTTGAGATTTCTCAAGCTGTTTATCAAGATATAATAATTATTTTTTTTCCTTAAAGAGGTAAATGAAAAGAAAATTGCTGAGGAAGAAGAGCTTGCTGCAGAAAAAAAGAAAGCCTTAAATGTTGCACAAAGTGTTTTGCACATCAGCTTGAACAATCCTACAAGCAAAGGATCAGTAGCTACTAAGAAATTTAAGTATGCTTTATGTTCTAGCCTATTCCACTGTATTTTCCTTTGCCATAAATGCCTTCTTGATCACAATTTAAAGTTATGTCTTAATCTATTAATTTTTGGGTAGTGCATGAGATCACTAGGCAATCCCTTTACCACGAAACTACCATCCCCAACCCAGATGTCTAATTTTTAATTTCCTGTGAGGATATGTTGACAATTTGTATCGGATTCTTAGAAATATTCTTATTTTGACCCAGTGATTCACTTCAAACATGTAATTTAGACAGACCGGTATAATCAAACCCATGTAATTCTATCATCCAACTTTGACAGTCACCAAAACATAACCAGTTTTCTCTTCTATACATTTTTTTAATCTGCCATACTCAGTGAAGTATTTAATGCAAATTCCACATAGTATGTCATTTTATCTGTATTTATTTTAGGATGTTTAAAATAATTTTTAAGATTAAAACAATATCCAGGGAAACTCAAAATTTCGTAATTTTAAAATATTGTTTCTAACAAGGTCCTAATTTGTCTTCTTTCATACCATTAGCTTCATTTTGGCTAACATTGGTATGCTTCATGTTGAATTATAATTTGCTATTAATTTTTTGTATTAGTGTTCTGATTGATTTCTCTCTTCCATGCTTTTGTTTTTTCTAACATAGGGACATCATTCGTTATGATCCAACGAGGCATGATCATGCCACTTATGAAAGAAAAAAAGATGATAAGCCAAAAGAAAGGTAAATTAAGCTACTTTTTACCTTAGATAGCTTCTGAAACTGCTTAGCTCTAATGCTTTCAAGCTCCATAAACACCCTGTTGTTTGAGCAGTTGAATTTTCTTAGCTCTATCTAAAGCATTAACAAAAGATTTATCTATTTATTTCTGGTACTAGAGATTGAACCCAAGGGCTTTTAACCCCTGAGCCACATCCCCAGAACTTTTTATTTTGAGACAGTGTCTTGCCAAGTTGCTTATGGCCTCCCTAAATTGCTAAAACTGGCCTTGAACTTGCAATCCTCCTGTTTTAGCCTCCCAAGCTGCTGGGATTACAGGCTTGTGCCACTCCACCCACCCAGCACACTTCTTCTTTCTTTCTTTCTTTCTTTTTTTTTTTTTTTTTTTTGTGTGTGTGTGTGGTGCTGGGGATTGAGCACAGGGCCTTGTGCATGCGAGGCAAGCATTCTACAACTAAGCTATATCCCCAGCCTGACTTTTTCATTTTTAAAGGGTGGTCTATAAATTTTTCCTTAAAGAGTCAGATAGTAGATATGTTAGATTTTGCAAGCCTCTCTTAGGACAACTGCCCTTTACCTTTGTATCAGAAAAGCAGGGAGATGCTTTCCAATAAAACCATTAACAGACACTAGAATTTGCCTTTTATATAACTTACATGTCATAAAATCACCCTTATCTCCCTAGTCATTTCAAACTATAAAAAATACTAATGTGAAGGGGCAGCAGCCTAGATTTGGCCCAGGGGCCATAGTTTGCCACTCCTGCTTTAGATTATATTTTCCTGGGTGGCATAGATTTGATTTTTGCTTAAAAACCACTTATTAAATTTTATGTCATTTGCCTTCTGGAGATGAGGAATCTTTAAAATCATGATATCTTGGTGCCTATGAAAGAAAAATATGTTCCCTTTAGGTTTACTTCTCTCACATTTTATTCTAAGCATCAAGAAGACCCGTCCAAAAAAAAAAAAAAAAAAAAGCCTTCAGCTTTTCTGGGTGTCTCCTTAGCTAGATCAGCTAGATCATCTGGTTAATTGGATACATTTTCTATTTTCTACAGTAATACAGGAAATGTTGCTGAACTTTTGACCATCATGTAATAGGGATCCACTTTCCTCCAATTTTCAATATCATTTATCATGCTTTTCTGCAATTCCTTACCTGCAACTTCCTCAAGGCCATGTGGTTCCTACTAATGGTTTCTTTAAGATCCTTTAGGCTTTTGCTATATCCTTGTCTCAGAAGTTACATAGTACCACATCTGCCTTCTTTTCTTTGTGAACAGATCACTAAGTCCAGTCCGTGCCCAAGGAATCAGGAAATTGCCTTCTACCTCTTGAAAAAAGTATCAAGGAATTTGAGACCAGTTTTAAAGCCACCACATGATGGTTCAATCAAAATGGCCTGAAGCTATCCATGTGATGCTCTTTTATAGAGCTCAGTGTCATAGGAGATACATCCATCTTAAAACCTAGCCAAGTGGTTTATTTTATGAAGTATAAACAGTTTCTTTCTTTGAGATGACCTTCACCATTAAAATGGTTATTTAGGACATCCTGTTCAATTTGAAGTAATACATTAAGAACTTCTTGCCTGGTCTTATACATGGAGTGGGCTATACTAGGAAAAAGGATTTTAATCTTTTCATTAGCTGAAAACTCAGTATTGAAAATGACCATGTAACTTTCTATATAAGATCAAAGAGAAAAGCATATTCATCCCTAACTGCAGAACAAATTTATGACAACATAAAAATCTGATTTCAAGAGACTAGACTTAGCACATTTATGTTTCACTTCTAAAACTGAATGATAATTAATTGATGACCCATCACTTTCTTAAAACTCACAGAATTTTGGAACTTAAAATGATCTGAGAAGTCATTTGATGTAACAGGTTCATTTCAAAGACATGGAAACAGGCCCACTGAGGCTAAATGATTTCTCTATTTACAGGTAACAGTTTAAGTATAATTTTGGAAACATGGTTTAGAGGATAAGAGGAGAATATGATTCATGCTAAATATTTGCATTTTTTGTGCTTATTGGTCAAGATACTTTGGATATTTTTAGTTGTTAAAAGGATGAAATTAAAGTTATCCTAGGGCTGGGGATGTGGCTCAAGCAGTAGCGCACTCGCCTGGCATGCGTGTGGCCCGGGTTCGATCCTCAGCACCACATACCAACAAAGATGCTGTGTCCGCCGAGAACTAAAAAAATAAATAAATATTAAAAATTCTCTCTCTCTGTCTCTCTCCTCTCTCACTCTCTCTCTCTAAAAAAAAAAAAAAAAAAAAAAGACTACAAAATAAAAACTATTTACTATTTGGTAAAAAAAAAAAAAATTAAAAAAAAAAAAGTTATCCTAGGAGTTTACCTTTTCTGATTATTAGAAACTTTCCCAAACTTGTTTCTTTGTAACATATGTGCCTGTATATGTCATTGCAGTAAAGCAAAGCGGAAAAAGAAAAGGGAGGAAGCGGAGAAGCTACCTGAGGTGTCTAAGGAAATGTATTACAACATTGCTACGAATTTGAAAGAAATATTCCAAAATACAAAAGATACCAGTGAAAAGGACGAAGGGACAGCCTGGAACCTGGACTGTGGTGGAGATAAAACCGAGGAAATTGATAATGCTACAGCTCTGACAAGTGGGACTGAGCAGCCCAGCGGGTTCATGTTCTCCTTCTTTGATTCAGACGTTAAAGATATAAAGGAAGGTATTTTCCGTTTTCCCCCCTCACTTTTTCATTTCAAGCTGATTAAACTTAATTGATTGAGTCTCCCTTAAGTTTAGTGGATTTACAATTATCTGAGATTCAGTGCTGCATGACAATAATTGTGATGCTCCTGAGATGTGAAAGAAACTATTTTTGCATTTAAGCGAGCAAACTTGTAGCCAACTGTCATATGAAGGGAAGGAATATGTCATATGAAGCCAGGGAATAATGTACCACATCCCTTCTTCTACATATGAAGTTGTCAAGAAGTAAAGTAAATCATTTAATTAACTCCATGTCTCAAATGCAGTTGGAAATGCATGAGTCATGGAGAATTAATATTGCATATGACAGGAGAAAGAAATAGGTAACCCTGGTTTAATACAAATAAGCTGTGTCATCAATATATCAGTATGCCAATTATTTCTAAGTTTATTTTTGACAATTTTCAGAACCTAAAAGAAAGAAGAATAAACACCAGTTTTTAGTTGTTGTTTTTCTCTTTTTTTTTTCCACCCTACTTCGGGAAATTTATCTCTAAAAGCCCAGGTGAAAATAAACTGTTCTTTAGGAGACTGTTCTTTTCCTAATTTTAAGATGATCGTGTTGAAGTTTTCAGAATATTCACTATAAAAAAGCATGATCTATTCAGAAGAATACAGGCACAATTAACTGCAGTGATTCTACTTTAAATATTGGCACATAAAATAGTATACATGTGTTGAGCAAATATATGTCAAATGTCAGCTCTGTGATACTCTAAAAGTATTTCAAAAATTATAAATAAGACATGATGTGCTCCACTTATTTTATGTTCTTGTCTTGTTCATTTGAACATTATGGTTAGCCCTAAACTGTTGAGTGTTGAGTAGAGTTGATGCAAATGTTAAATATATATGTGTATATATATATGTATATATATATATATATATATATGTATGTATATGTATTTATACGAGAGATAGATAGATACTGGGGGTTGAACCCAGGCACACTCTACCACTAGGCTATACTCCACTCCTTTTATGTATCTTAGTTGCTCATTTGTGCCATCACCTTTTATTTTCATAACCATATAGAGACCTATAAAGTTGAAGCAGTGAAATCTGGGAAGACTATCTGGAAGGGAAACCCTCATTTCCAAGACAGCAGCAGTTCAGAAGAAGAAGATGTTACTGAAGAAACGGATCACAGAAAGTCCAGCCCTGGGTAAGCATTTTGTTTGTATACAGGTATACTTTGTGATTTGTGAAAATCTGAGTTAGACATGCTAGAAGTATTTTGTTAAGTATCTAGGCTTCTCTTTGTAGGATAACTTTATTTTCTTTTCTCAGCTTCTTCGATATGCCTTTTTATAGTGGGGAGTGTGGTTCTTTTTTCTTGAGATTTCCATAGAATTGGGAGGGAGATAAAATATGCCCAATGCTATAGCTCAGTAAATGAGCGCACCACAAAACAGGAAAAAAAACAGATGACCATTAATGGGCAGGTTGAACTAATAACTTAAAAAAAAAAAAAATATATATATATATATATATATATACACACACACACACACGTGTGTGTATACATGTGCATATACATGCATATATAAAATATACACATGTACACACATACACACACCCAAGGAATTGAGCCTGATGGTAAAGTTACTGGTCTGGACACTGGATCCTGAGGTTGTCTGGGTGCCTTCCCAAAGGGAACACTGGCAAACAGTGTTGCGATGGTGAGAGTGACAGCATCAACAACAACCAGAGTGGGAAAGGTAGAATTTGTATGTAAGTCCTCATTATCAAAGCTTTAATTAGAAGAGAATTTTGAATGGAAAAGGGGCAGAGTCATTTTAACTCAAGGCAAAATGAGCAAAACAAAGCAGCTATATTTAAGAAATAGTTTAAATTTTCAATGTAAATATTTCCTCTTAAATATTCAAAAGTAACCAACACCTGTCTTTTTCTCCCTCCCCTTTTCAGAGAAGCATCAGTACCTGAAAAAGGGACCACTAGATTTTTCTTTTTCTCTAGGAATGATGAACGACTTCATGGTAAGTCCTTTTTTCTGTTAAGTGATATAGTATAGCTCTGATCACACACTCTTGTATGATAACTGGCATCTAGAGATTCTGGCCTTCTGTAGTAGACTGATGCGAGTTGACTTGTAAAGCTCTCAGAACTGAGTGCTCCTCGGTGTCCACGTTCCTTGCTCATTCATTATCATCCATAAGGGCTTGTTTTGTTATAGGAACTTGCCAGTCTGTCAACATAAAAACAAACAAACAAACAAAATTGAGGTTTTAGTACCCTAAAAGTCCATATAAAAACTCAAAACCTGATGGTGATCTCCTTACTTCTTAAAGCCTAGGCACAAACAGAAACAAAGTTATGTTACAGTAAAAGACATGTGAACGGTACTTGAAAGAACGTTCAAGGCTTGCCATCAGAAAAAATGCCCGTTTATTGAGGAACAGCTCTGCACATTTGTAGAGCCGGGGGTGGTCTGACAGTTGGCATGAGGTGCTTTTTGATTGGTGGGTAAGGATCAGGTGAGCCAGCAGGGCTAGTCTGATTGGTGGGTAAGGATCAGGTGAGCCATCAGGGCTAGTCTGATTGGTAGGTAAGGATCAGGTGAGCAGCAGGGCTAGTCTGATTGGTGGGTAAGGATCATGTGAGCCAGCAGGGCTCACCATTGGATGGCAGGATCGTTTGAGCCAGCAGGGCTCACCATTGGATGGCTTTTCTTGGGGGATGGAGAAGTTAGTCTTTGGAGCCGTGGCAACTCCCAACATTCCCCCTTCTTTGTTAATAAATGAGAGTGGGTGTCCACTCATTCTGGCTGCCTCCTGCTGAAATGGGGTTGTGTGGGAGAAAAGAGGAGGGAAGTAAGGAGCCCCCACAGGAGGGCAGAGAAGACAGGTATCAACAAAGGTTCCATGCCACCACAGATCCATGATGACGTCAGTCCATTCGGCATAGGTCTCGATTGGAGGTACCATCAGTAGCCAGGAGTTGGTAATTCCTGAGGAGAAGCCTAACACCCTCAATTCCACTCTTCATTCCTAGTCAATCTAGCTCCCTCTCCTCTCAATTAAGGCTGCTCTTCAAGCTTTCTCCTACTAGGGTGTACCAGCCTGCTTCTCTCTTTGCCTTTCTCGAAGGCAGCCAAGGGAGGACGGTGGCCCATTGTTACCATATTTCCCTTTGAGAGCAGTCGGATCTATCCAGGTTTTATGTGAAACACCTCAACTTTAAATACTGATACTTGAAATTCTTACAAAACTGGGAGGGTAAACAAAACACACATGTTCCTCCTTAGGCCCAGAAAGCAACTGGTAAAGTGCTCTCTTATGATCACACTTATTCAGGGGGTTACCATGCTCTGGACACCTAAGTAGTTTGTCAGAAGGACAACACACAAAGGTCCCACTACCAGCCAGATTCAAGCAAGTGAGGGCGGGTCTGGCTGGAGGGGGCCCTTAGGGTTACTTGCCTTGAATCTTCAGACATAGGGAGAAGAGAGGACCCAAGAGGGGCCAGAAATGAGGCGGAGCATTGACAAAAGAGTACTTAATGACAGGTAACAATTGTTGGCTCTTCTGATGAAGGTGTAGGAGTGCTGGGCTTAAGCCTGGAAATATGAATCCACAGGGTAAGCTGGTTATTAGGTAGTTTGAGTTTGGCTGCTAAGGGAGTGCACATAATCACCTGAACAGGACTCTCCCATTTTGGTTTTAGAGGGGGCTTTTCTCCCAGTGGGCAATAGTAAACAAGTTGACCAGGTGTTAAGGAGGTAGGGTTTTGAAAGAGACTGAGGTCAGGAAGGAGCCAGTCTTGATAGCACCAGAGTTCAGAGTGTAGATGGAAGAGGAGGGGCAGGGCATAGGTTTTGGAGATGGGTAGGGGTTCTATAGGCAATCCGAGAGGAACGAGAGGAAGGTCATATATGACTTCGAAAGGTGAGAGATTAGAAGGCTTCTTTGGCAAGGCTCTAATGCACAATAAAGCCAAAGGGAGCACCTTTACCCAGTTCAATCTTAATTTCATGATGAGCTTGGTGAGGGTCTCTTTAAGGGACCAATTGGTCCTTTCAACCTTTCCGGAAGCCTGGCGGCGGTAAGGGCAATGAAAATGCCAAGGGAGTGATAGCACGTGAGCCAGTCCCTGAGTTATCTGCGAGGTGAATTCTGGGCCATTGTCTGATTGGATAGAAGTGGGCATCCCGAAATGGGGGATTCTGTGAGTAAGCAACAGACCAACTACTATAGAGGCCTGCTTGTTAGAAGTAGGAAAGGCTTCAACCCATCCCGAAAAAGTATCTATTAATACAAGAAGATATTTTATGTTTTTTACTCATGGCATATTGGTGAAATCAATCTGCCAGTCTGCAGCCAGGGTATGACCAACAGGCCTGATGAGAAGGGAAAGGTTTAGGTTTTAATGGAGTATTGGTATTGGTTCTCTGGCAGATATGACAAGTGGAAGTGATCTGTTGTAGGAGGGTCTTATGGCATGGGGAAAGGGTGAAAAAGGAGTGAAGGAAAGTAGTGAGACTCTGAACCAGACGAGGTCCGAAGAGGGCAGGGGTCCCTCAGAAATGGTGGTAGGGCAGGGTACAATCGTGTCTAATACCTCCAGGCATTTGTGGACAGGATCTTGTGAGGGTGAAGATGGGAGGAGGGCTACAAGGTTTCAAGGACTGAGACAAGGAGGGATAGAACTCTGAAAGGAGGAAGTCACTGTAGCCCCTTGTAAGTGAGGAAATCCTTTATGAGATGGTTAGCGGGAAGCCAAAGGTAAGCTTATGTGCTTCTTTCTGGAGGTCATGGGCTGCTGCTAGGGCTCTGAGGCATGGGGGCCAGCCCCTGACGGTGGGGTTGGATAGGTAGGCCACTGGTGCAAATATGGGGACATCCTGACCCAGAACGCCCAGACTTTGTCCCAGTTTTTACATAGAGGGTGAAGGGTCAGGGAGATGCAGGGCTGGTGCCCGGAAGAGGGCCTTTTTGAGGATTGTAAAGGGCTTTCCTACCACTGAGGGCAGGGGTTCATCTTGGAGGCCCTTGGCCAGATTATACCCAGGCAAACCCAAGAAGGAGAGTATGTCACCTTTGATCTTTGGTGTAGGTATAGACACAATAAGCTGTTTTCTACTGTAATGGCCTTTTTCCCTTGAAAGATGCTATTTGGGCTTTTTGTGGAGAGGCCCGATATCCCTTTAAGGCCAAGAAATTAAGTAGGAGAACTGTGTCATCTGTTGAGTGCCCTTTGGACAGGCTAGAAGAATTTGTAGAGGTTTGCAAGAGGTACAGAGAGCAGGATTGGATCAGAGCAAGAAGAAAGCCTGGACATAAGCGATCTCTAACCATTTTTCTTGAATGCTCACAGTAATTGTAGAGATCCCTTAGCATGGAGGGATCCAGGGACCCAAAAAGGGGCCATTTGCTTTGGTTGTCTAAGGGATAAGTGGGCCAGGCCTGGGTGCTATATTTGATCCAAGAGGCATTGTAGGGGAGAGTTGACCAGCAGAGAGGACGCAGAGAAGGAGGAAACTGATTTATTGGCAAAAGGGGCGTCCCCGCTAGAGCCAAAAAATCAGGAGTGCCTAAGTGGCAGGTTCGAGCTGCAGAGATTGGTCGTCACCGAATCCTGACAGTCGAAGCTCTCGTCCTGGATGGAGCCTGAGCCGTGGGAGACCTTGGCCAAGGCTTTTCGGGACCCCTCCTGAAGAGGCCGGATACTCCCAGGGCCGGAAAGAGGGGAGAGGAAGGCGTGGGTAAGTGTCTCTCTAGCAGCCAAGTCTAAAAGGTGAGAGGACTAGGACTTTCGAATCTGCCCAAGGAAGGAGTCCCTGAGGGCCACCATAGCCTTAAAGGCTGTGGTGGGATGCTTTCCTCCCCACAGGTGGGCAAAGAGATTTGCTGGACGATAATCAACATATTGCAAGAAGGTGGATTGGGGGCACTGGGGGGTGAAATGATTGGAGGTCGGAGGCCAAGGTTTGTCCAAAGAGGTGTGGACTACCTCAAGATCCCTGAGGAAGGACAGTCCAGATTAAAGGCAAAAAGATATCCTTTAAATCTATGACCAAGAAGTGGGTGTCAGTGTGGGGGATCTGAGACAGCAGGGTGTATGGGTTGGGAACCAAAGGATGTATGGGCCTAAAGGAGGTGTTGATGAGTCGTAGGTCCTGAACTAAGTGATAGGACCTGTTGGGCTTTTCTACCGCTAGTTTGGGAGTATTCTAAGGGGAATCAGCAGGACGGAGGTTACTCCTTGCTAAGAAAGTCCTGAATAATGGGTTGTAGGCCCAGAAGAGCTTTTGTGGACAGGGGGTATTGAGCCTGATTAGGGAAGGTGTTAGGATCTTTAAGATGAATGTTAACTGCTAGGCAGGAAATGGTGGAGGGGGTGTGGGTATCCCATACAATCACCAGGTTAGTATGGTATTTCATGTCAGCCTCACAAGTGGAGCAGAATGGCCAGTCTTCTTCCAAAAGGGGGCCTGACTGATGCCAGGAGCCCGGATATTGATTGTTGTATTGAATTTAGAGAGAATATCTCGGCTGAGCAAAGGAACTGGACATAACTAGGAACATCTGAGAGAATGGGAAGTTGTCTATGGAACAGAGTAATAGGGGAGTCTTTCTTGGATAGATGGTCTTTCCTACTACCCGACAATAGGAGAGGTGGACGTTTGCCCCAGAATTCTGTCAGGACTGAGAAGTTAGCCTGGTGTCAAGGAGAAAGTCAACCTTGCATCCATCCACCTGAATCCGCACCCTGGGTTCCTGTCTATTGATCAGGGACAAGGACCCAAGGCTCCGTCAATTGATTGCTATGCCCAGAAGGGCAGAGGGTTCCCCGGCCATAGGCCTCCTATGGGGTCTAGGACAGTCAGAGCCCCAATGACCTTGTTGTTGACATTTAGGGCATGGAGTATGTGGAGTGCATGGTGCGGGGCATGCCCTGGCCCAATGTCCCTCCTTGCCACACTTGAAGCAGGTGCCCAGGGGGTGTTTTCCGTGGTGGGCGGCGACCCAAGGAAGCACCTTGCTGGTCCTGAGCCAGCAGGGCTAGTCTGATTGGTGGGTAAGGATCAGGTGAGCCAGCAGGGCTAGTCTGATTGGTGGGTAAGGATCAGGTGAGCCAGCAGGGTTAGTCTGATTGGTGGGTAAGGATCATGTGAGGCAGCAGGGCTCACCATTGGATGGCAGGATTATGTGAGCAAGCAGGGCTTACCATTGGACAGCAGGGTCATGTGAGCCAGCAGGGCTCACCATTGGATGGCTCTTCTTGGGGTATGGAGAAGTTAGTCTTTGGAGCCAGGGCAACTCCCAACAGCACTATTCTAGCAATGCTACATGTTTAATTTTGAAAGAAAAATATATTTTTGAAAATTTCATAGAAAATTTTTTAAAAGATCTTAACTAGAATTGGATACCTTAATAATGCCAACTTCAGAATGTTGTCCATTTCAGTAGTAGTTTGCTGCCCTGTGTTTCTTGTTTTTCCATTAATAGGTTCTGACATGTTTTGGTGTGGCGTGGGAAGTAATGTTAGCACGAATTCTTGGGAGGCCCGAACAAATAGCTTACGTATGGTGAGTAATTGTTTCTCCATATCATTGTCTCTGAACATAGATAACTGTTCTTTGTGTTAAGATTCCCCTAGTGTGAGAATATTATGAATATGATATGAAAATTTAGAAACAAACAACTGAGAAAAGGATTTAAACTCTCAGAATTATCTCATTGGAGGGAATTTAGAGGTTCATGCATCCCACCGCTGGTACAGGCAGAAAGTCTGGCTATTTAAGTGTTGGGTCCCAGAGTTCATCCAGGTTCATTTTCATTAAGTAACAGGAAATCAAAATTTTTTTGTTTTCTTTTGTTTTTGGTACTAAGGATTGAACTTTGGGGCACTTGACCACTGAGCCACATCCCCAGCCCTGTTTTTTTATTTTATTTAGAGATAGGGTCTCACTGAGTTTCTTAGCAACTTGCCATTGCTGAGGCTGGCTTTGACCTCTCAGTCATCCTGTCTCCGCCTCCGGAACAGCTGTGATTACTTGGTAGGAAATCGGGTTTTTAAAGTCTGAATTATAGTTCCCTGATCTTCTACAGCTAAGAGTTTAAATAGTCCTTATTTATTCCAGTGAGCACTTCCAAAATAGGTTTCTACAGTAAGCTAAAGTTTACTGTATAATTATTGAACACCATGAGAATGATTTGTTTTTATTGTTAACTAAGGCTTCTGGTTTTATTATTTTTCTAGGATTGTCGAAAGAAACATAAAGAAGCCAAAAGGAAAATGAAATCAAAATAGTAAATGTTGGCATTGGCTTTGTTACTGAACATGAACAATACTGAAGGAAATTGACCCAGAAAATAGTTTTAGACATCAAAGAAGAAATTTCAAAGTGGAAGGAAATTCAAAATCTGGCTTGTTGATTATTATTCTGCTTGCCACCTTTTTCTGTGGAATTCCTCCATATTTCTTCTTAGGTGATTACTTCAAAAAATTAAACTGAGCTGGACACGATGATGTACAACTGAAGTCCCAGCACTCAGGAGGCTGAGGTGGGAAGGTCTTTGAGACCAGTCTTTGCAACACAATGAGATCCTATCTCAAAAAAGAAAAAAAGAAAAAAAAAATTAAAGGGAACTTTCAAGAAATGAAGTCCATTAAAGTACTTCTTGTATATAACCTGTTTGCCTTCCGTCCTCAGTAAGTAGTGTGCATTTTCTCATGCAAAGTTTGCATGAAGCCTTTTTAAATAAATGATTTATTGTACTTGTGTTTCCCAAGTTAATCTTTATGTTATAGTATTTGAAATATTTATTTCTGATTGTACCACATACATCCACCTCCATTTTGTACTTTTTATTTGACATATCAACTTTGAATCCTATACTCATTTCCTGATAATGAGCTAACTGAAATGAGAGTTCTGTGAAGACCAGGAAAGGAAGACAGATAACAGTTTTCCTGTCTCTGGCTTTGAGAAAGTAGGGAGCAATTTATAGAGACAAATCCATCTATCCCAGAATTCAGAAGCTTATGAAAAATACCAGGTATCTTGAAAGATTTTAGTCAAGAGCTGGAGTCACATTCCTAAGTCCAGAAGTAGGTTTAATATCTCACTAAGTACCCAAACCTGGCTAGGATTCAAGACAGATATGCCTTCTATTAAAATGGGTCTGTATAAAATTGTGTTCCATAGACAGTTTCAAGGGATTATTATCAAACCATGAGGTGTATGTATGTGTGTGTGTGTGTGTGTGTGTGTGTGTGTATATTTGTCATAATTTTTGGATTTATATCTCACTTAAACTGTAAGGGTTGGAATTTGATCAGGTTTGTTAACCATTATATTCCCACTATATAGATCTGTGTCTGGCACATAGTAGATACTCAGTATGTATATTTTTTAAATAAATGTGATACATATATTAAGTAGCTTAAAGAATCATTCTGGATTCATATGGATCTAAGATTTCAGGTTTGTTTGTGTGAGTGTGTGTTTGTTACTAGGGATTTAACCCAGAGGTTCTTTACCACTGAGCTATGTCCCCAGCCCATCTTTTAAAGTTTGAGTCAGGCTCTGGGTTGCTAAGCCTGGACTCAAACTTGGCAATCCTCCTGCCTCCCTGAAGACTTCAGACATTAAGGAAAATGGGAACAACCACTCAACAGGATAAATCACATACTTTCTTATCTGTTGCTTCATAGCAAGCCATTCCAATAAAAGTAATTTACTTTGTTCACAAATGTGATTTAGTGAGGATTCAAGAGACTGCTTGTGTCTGCTCCACATGGTGTCATAGAAATGGTTCAACTGGGGAGAAGGGATCTACTTCTCAGGTGGCCTGTCTGTGCAGTGCTTGTCCGCAGGCTTCCTCAGGCTCTAATTTCTTAATTTTTGTTTTGATTAACTTTTTCCTAGAGAAGTCTTCCCATACCTTCCAGCATTACTTTAGAAATGTGTCTCAGTCCACTTTTTAAACAATCAGACTGGGAATATACCTGTAGGTTTTTCCCCCAGGCACACCTGTCCAGGAGCCCTCTGTCCTTCTCCAATCTGTTTTCTGGACTAGTGGCAGAAATCAACTGAACAGATGGTAACTTAAGAAATGCAAAAACTTTGAACACATTCTAAACACGTCCATTTAACAAAGATATGCAACTATTAAATACATTCAAGTGATTCAAGTAACTCCTTTGGGAGGAAATTAAGCCTTTTACTCTAATCTGTGATGGCTAATAGGACCTAGACCATGGTAACTGTTGAGTAAATGCTAAACAGACATATCAAAATATTCTTAGTTAAAACTTAAGCAAGCGCTTTCTACCTATTCTATAACACTTTCTTTTTTTTTTTTTTAATGAAGTAGGTAAAATCAGCAATTAGCTACACAACACTCTCAATTTGTCTAGACCAAAAGTTCCTTCATAGGCTGTGATGCCAACCTCCAGAATCCCTTTTGGTTTTGTTGTTTTTTGTGTACTGGGGATGGAAATTCCGCCCTCCTTGCATGCTAGACAAGCACCTATACCACTAAGTTGTATCCCCATTATCAGCAAAACTAGGAGGTGCCAGGCAGGCACAGAGCAATGATAAATAAGCCAATGATTCTTTTTATTACAGGAAACATTTTTTTTTTAAAGTGCAGTAAATCATATAAAGATGGTCATGAAGCCTTTTCATCTGTTCCCTTGCCATTTACCACAGGGAAAGCGGCCTCTGGATTACAGCACAGGCCCCACAGTAGTTAGCAAGCCACTGCTCCGAAGTCTCAGTGTTTTCAGGATGTAAATATTAATAGTAATTTACATGAAGTGAGATGCAGACCTTAAGTGTCTGGTTAGATGAACGCAGACACGCAACACAGGACCCCTGTCCCAGCCGCAGCTGGGGACGGTGGGGTGCAACCTGAGCCTAGCGCGTAAGGCTTCCGGCCAGCCCCGCCCAGGCCTCCGCCTCCGAGCGCCGGGCTCCTCCCCTCGCAGAGCTGCGTTCACAGAGCGCACTGCGGTACAAATTTCGGCCCGTGGGCGTGGCCGGAATCGTGCCCCTTGCGGCCAATCACCTCTCGGGTTGTTGGAGGGTGTTAGCGCGTTCTGATTGGCTGGAGCCGGGGCAGCCTCTTCCTTGCCCCGCGTGTTATCAGGGTGTTGCATCACCTCGGGTCGCCGCCGCGTGGGTGCAGGCTGCCTCCTAGGCTTGCGGGCCCCGGGGCTCCCCAGGTAAGTCAGGCCTTTCTGGTATGCAGGGTCCCTCACGTCCGTCCGCTGCTGCTCGTGGCGCCCCCGGGGACGCGGCGTCCTGCCCTCAGAGGCGAGAGTCACGTGTACGGTAAACCCCCGAGACTGTCCGTGTGTGTGTGTGTGTGTGTGTGTGTGTGTGTGTGTGTGTGTGTG